TAAGTGGAGAATTGATCTAAGGGATGACATTATTTCTAAGCATTCGCACCTCATTTATGTGATAGACAAGTTCTTTGATGTAAAAAAATAATCAGTGTTCTTGTGGGAATTTCAACGAATGTTATGGTTTATAAGTATGTTAAAGATATTCAAGAAGATAATTTATATATAAGAACAGTGTCAAGTCTGAGAATAGCAGCCAGACAGAAAAACTGGCATATGGAAGTCCATACCTAGTTATGGAACAACAGAAACACTGTGAATTCCATAGTAGTTTTCAGAAGATGACAAGAACGCCAGGCTGAAAGTTAATTAATGGTTAAAAAAGACGTCACCAACTTATCAAACCAAAGATAATTTATATTTACTCTAAAAGGAAATGGCAATTATATTTAAATTTGTTACTTCTTACATTTTTGAAGAAAATGTTAAAATATTTTAAAATCTTAATTTGAATTTTGAAGGCAAGATTAATGCTTTATAACAAGTACTGTTGTGTAATAAAAGTAATTTAATTTGATCTAAGTTTAATTATACATCTAACTGTCTGTAAATAAAATGAAAACTACCTGTATAAAACTTTAAAAAATATTTTATGATTCAACTAACTTAAGGTACAACAATTTTCAAAAAATTTAATTAATGGTTAAAAATGCTTTATAATAATTGAATTAACCTGTTACCATCTTTAAAGCAATAAATGCATAAAACATTTATAAGCTGCTGTAAACTGAAAAAATGCAAATGGTTATTGCTAATTAAGATATGATCAAGCATGGTTATATCACAAAGTTTCATTGCATTGTAATGGTTTATTTTGAAAATCAATTCTTGTCCTAATGTTTGGCTGTGAATGACAAGGTATGAACAGGGAATGTACCATGTAGAAATTAAGGCAGAATTTAAGCAGCTTTGAACACAGAATTTGGGTATTAGTCTATTAGGAAAATTTGGGTTTAAGTAAGGTATTGAGGAGAGAATTAAGGTTTATATTAATGGTTAAAAAAAAAAAAAACCCTTTGCACATGCTTTCTGAATAACTGTCTTTTTCTTCATGAATTTACACAGACTACGTCTATATCTAAATAGTTTTTTCTGGTTATTCCTAAGCTGAAATAAGGGATACTATATTGATTTAAATTGTAACCCTGGTCAAAAATTATTGTCTTTAATAGATTGCTTTGTTAACCAAGATGTAATTACAATTGGGAAAGTCATTCTCATTGATCTAATGTAAAGACTTAGCCAAATAGATTTTACTATAATTGAGTTAATATTCAATGTAATTTGTTTCATTGTGTTATGATAACTATGATAATCTTTAACAAAAGAAAATCTCTTAGTTTGAAACAAAGCTAAAATATAAAAGTGATTTCAATTTTTTTTCACTTTGCATGCATTAATAACAGCAATATTAGTTTGCTCCACATTAGTTTTAAGAGCAAGTTATCATTTGTTTTTAATACAAGAGCATCCTAGCTGGTATAATGAGCACTATTATTGGGTGAAAGGCCAGTTTGGCACTAAATACTGCAGATATAGTATGGTTGACATAATATTATTTCTTGCTTTCAACCATAAATTCTTAGAATTACTTATGTAGACTTCCACTATTGACACTGTGGGTGCTTGACTCGCTTCAGGAACAAGATGACTAGCTAGTGATTCACTAGTTCTTATGAATTATATAAAACTTAACTGAAGTATAATCACCCTAATTCTGATTAGTAAATGACTAATATGATTGATAATAATTACAGTTCACTTTCTTAGCATATTTCAATGGTGATGTAAATAGTGTCTAGAACCAATGGTTCCCAAACTCTTTTAGTCTGAGGCTCCCTTGATGTGAATAAAAAAGTTTGAGGCTCCCAACCAATAAAAATACCTTAAAATGTGACTTATCAATTTCAAAAATAATTAGTAATGAACTATAATGATATTTATGAAGTACTTTTTCTATTAAATTGTATGTTTGTAATTTAATGTGTTTTTTTTTCTTATCAATTTATATGTACTATAATTAGAAAATTAACAGTTTATTATGTTTGGGTTAAATTTGTAGACTGATCAGCAGTTAAATACACACTTAATTTTATGTAAGGTTATCTTATTTTCATTTTAATATATGAAGCGATCTGTTAATTTAATTAATTCAACATAATTTTTTTTATTGGCTTATTGTTTATTTAGAATTAAAATTAATTAAGCATCTTTGTTTTCGGCCCATTTTTTGGCAGTCCCCCTGAAAAACGTTTCATGGACCCCACTTTGGGAAACACTGGTCCAGATCACTATTTCTGTCTGTGGTAACCCAGCCAGCCTGATGAGCCCAGGCATTTGGTTTATAAATTGGTACTGGATATCGCAGATACTATGGTTCACATATTTATGCATTCTTTCTTGCTTTCACTCATACGTCCTTAGAATTATTTGTAAAATTTGTTTGATCAAAATCCAAAAACACTGGTATTAACAGTTGTTAACCCAGCATTTCACATGCAGTGCAATTTTTGTCTGATACCAATTTATCATCTTATGTTCAAGCCTTACACTGAAACAAGACAATTACACAAAAGCATAAAAGTTTTTCCAGGTTGTTTTAAAAACAGGTTAAAAACCTGTTTAATGAACATTCTTGAAATCTGATTTGAAACTGAGAAAATTAGGATTCAATATTATCAGTCTAATTTTATAGGTTTTAAGATTAACCCTTTAATTACCAGTCTAATTCTACAAGTTTTAAAATTAACCTGCTAATTATAGTAAACTCTAATGTTGGTTTAAGAAACATCTAAATGTATTAATCATTGACATTTAACCTGTCAATTGCATTTCAGCCTTTTGACCATAAATAAATAATCCCACCTTGTAATGTCAATGTCATCTTAAATAGTAGAGATTTGTGCAAGGAAAAATTACTCTTTATAAATTTGTCAGTTAACTTATTTCCAATGTATGATGAAAACATTGATTCAAATGGAATAATTTCATCTATATTTCAGTAATGTCATTGTTTTACTTAATACTTACTTTTTGTCTGTGATTTCAGCTTTACTTTAAGCATATTTATTTCTGCTTAGTAATGTTGGGTTTTTGGCTGTTTTATGGTTATTCTACTGTGAATGGGTATATCTGTAAATCTTCAGATAACAACACTGATTTAATACACCTTTTTGTATGGCTTGTTTTATTGCATAGCAATAAAAAACTACTGAATAGAATAGTTTGAAACTTGAGTTGAACTCTCTACAGATTATGTAGTTTCTACAAAATAAAGTGCTGTATTTGATATTTGAATAAGTTTGCAGCTTTGAAATTTAGAAAAGATTCCATTGTGGTAAGTTTTTTAAAAGAAAATTAAAAATGCTCATCTTTGTTATAGATTTCAGTTACCGATTTCTATGTCTTCCCACTTTCTTGTAAAACTTTCCAACTGTTTCTATTTTATAAAACTACACACTGCACAGTTTCCTTGCATTTAGAATCAGTGGCATACATTTAAAATAACTATTACCATACCAACATTATTAATAAACATTAAACCCATTTTATATTCCTTTATAAATAATTTTTTACATTTTTTTAGTGATTTTCTTTGTTCTAAAAGACCTAATGTAAACGTGGTCTAACAAACCAGCTGTCTTTCATTCATACTTGAACATCATGACCCAAATGAAGTATAAAACAATAAAGAAGCTTTTTACAAACTTTGAAAAATAAATGAGAACTATAAATGTAGTGCAAGTTGTTCACAATAACTTTTTACTAGCAACACAAAGTTAAGCTTTTAACACTCAGATATGATGGCTACACAAATCTCCACTGAAGTGGTAGCCATTTCTAAAGAACACAGACACATTTTTCACGATGTGTTTAGATCAAAAATCAAAATACTTACATTTGTATTCATGTTAGAAGGACAAATTATTGGTATTTTGTTCAAAACTACAATGCATTTCATCCTAGGCTACAAGTGCCATATTATTCTCAAAAGAAAATTCAATAATTTCACAAACACTAACGAGTTTTTAAAGGTATAATGAAATCAAACCAAACTAAAATTTCCATTTTTATTTAGTTTTTATGTATAAAATTAAACGAATAACTGCTTACTGAATAAATTTCAATTTTGAAGTGTTTTTTTTTGTGTAAAAAGGACTACAAATTTACTTTCAATAATTGCTTTAATTTCATGTTGCACTTGAGGCAGCCTGCATACAGGCATGAAAGAGTTTACCATGATACTCTTCTAACAACAATATCTACAGCAGTATATATATATATATATATATATATATATATAAATATACTGCCAACTTTTTAAATTCATTAAACTGTCTAAATCCTATAATTTTTACTTAAATTCTGTAACTACTGTGTAGACAGCCTGATATTAGTTCTAAAAGTAACATTAAAAGTGTCCAATAATTTTATTTCTTTATCTATACACCAGTAAGAACTGAAATATTTTGGTAAAAATTAAAGAACAAACTAAATCACAAACCAACATTAAAAGATTATGACTTTTGAGTGATTTCTACTCTGCATGGGATTATCAGTTACATCACTAGTGTATTCTTCTATTTTATATTAAAAACTGTACTGTTGATACTGAAATCAACACTAACTGAAAATGTTTGGACATGAAAATACCTTGTGTGTCAAAAATATGCACACTTTTATTTTTCATAGAAAATTCACTTTACAATGTTTTTTTATGACATTCACTATTATGTGTTGACTACTTCAATTTACATAATATATAATTTTTATAAATTTCATTTTGCTCTTAAAACAGTTTTCAAACATTTTAGATACAGATTATAGAGCGGTAATTTGATGTCTTGTATAAATAGAAAGAAACATTATTACATAAAAGAGGCATGAGTATGGAATATAAAAATCAAATCATATAAATTTGATGTATTTGATGGGGTGTATATTGTATTATTTCTTCCTCTGGACTTCTGTGACAAAACCAGAGACAAAATACATACCCTTCAAAGGATGGGTAGTGTGTTGTGCCAAGGTATTTGGTACCTCTTACTAAGCTTTGGTTCCTTCTTTTGATCGCTTCAGTTGGACTTTGAGTCGCTTAGTGCCAACCTCAAAACCATTCATTGCTTGGATGGCAGCCTGAGCACTTACAGGATTATCATAGCTGACAAAACCTGCAATAAAAAATTGTAAATTTACATTTCTTGGGAAAATACTTATTACAATGTAATTAAATCTATAAAATACTTTATTACAATATAATTAAATCTATAAAATACTTTATTACAATGTAATTAAATCTATAAAATACTTTATTACAATGTAATTAAATCTATAAAATACTTTATTACAATGTAATTAAATCTATAAAATACTTTATTACAATATAATTAAATCTATAAAATACTTTATTACAATGTAATTAAATCTATAAAATACTTTATTACAATATAATTAAATCTATAAAATACGTTATAAGAATGTAATTAAATCTGTAAAATACTTTATTACAATGTAATTAAATCTATAAAACATTTTATTAGAAGGTAATTAAATCTATAAAATACTTATTACAATGTAATTAAATCTATAAAACATTTTATTAGAAGGTAATTAAATCTATAAAATACTTATTACAATACAATTAAATCTATATAATACTTATTACAATGTAATCAAATCTATAAAAGCTCCTGATTGGTGTTAAAATTGCTGTCTATACAAAAAATATAAAATTAACTCAAAAATTAGTATTTCAAAATCAAAATAAGTCTTAATAAAGTATCTTATTTTTGAATTCTGTGCTTTCAATAAAAATTACAATAAATCTGCTCCTTTTAAGAAAAAAATGAAAGCAGTAGCAAAACATAAGCATAAAAACCTATAGACATAATTTTAAATACTCATACATGAATATTAGGTTCGAAGTGCTTCATAGTTGAAAATGTATTTCTGATACACACCTATTCACACAGAAAGCTATCTTCCTTGTGCATCTACCTTAGAGATTTGCATGCCATTAGGTAACTCCCACCTTATCGTGCAAGTTTTCTGGTGAATTGCATTACTGAATAATGACATTATTATGCAGCAAAAGCCCTTCACCAATAGGAGAGCAACACAACCTCCTTGCTCACTAACTCCCTCTCTGCTTTTGCACTCATGAATTTTCATTCTTGACAGGACAAGTATGTCTAAAGTGCACCAGAAGTGGGGAGAAGGATGGGAAGTGTGTACAGAGGTAAGTATCTATCGGAAATATATTTTCAAGTAAGGAATGTGCAAAATTCCAATATAATACACACCTCTTCACACAGAAAGCTAGAATCAAGCATTGATATGGAGTAGGGACTTGTGAAAAAGTTACCTAGATGAATTCCCTTCAAAAAGCACCAAAAGGAATCCCATGGAGTGTGACATCCAATGGCAGGGGCCCCATAGGGACACATCCATGGGAGACCACATCTTATCTCTTCCAGGATATTCTTTTCTTCCAGAATGGAAGAGAGGAAGTGGCAAACAAGCTACATGTGTTATGTGTATGGATAGAATGAAAACATGGCCACCCAAGTGGAGAGCCAATATATGTAGCATGGTTGGGGAGCATTCAGACCATTTATATTGCACACCTCAACTGTACCATCAGACATTATTGAACGGACACCAACTGTGGGAGGAGGGCACAGAAATTATTAGTGCATGATTGCCTCAACTTTACTGTTAGACTCTTGGACCAACACCAGCTGTAGAAAGAGGGCACTTAATTCATGCCAATGAGTGTGTAATGTTGGTGCATGCTCACCCAAACTTTACCGTCAGACTCTTGGACTGACACCAGCTTCATGAGAAGAGCACAGAATTCATGCCATAGTGTGTGTAATCATGATTTATGCTAAACTGATAATGTCACCACTACCACACTTCCAATTTATTGGCACCCCTTATTCTAGCTCCAGTGGTTAGTTCTACCACCCCAGCAGCTAGGAACTGGTAAGTGTTAAGGGTTTCCCATCATCCACTCAAAGAAAAAGTGTGTATGTGTGAGGGGGGAATTTGCAGTGGGGAGACCTGGAGTAAATATCCAGATCCTGTTTCAGTCAGAAAAGTTTGTTACTGGAGACAATGCAATGGGTCGTAAAAGAGTGAAATAGAAGGAAGGCAGAGGGGAGAAAGGGAGCAGTCTCCTTCCTGAGTAGCTGAAGACTTAGGTAGGGAGGACCAGTCTGGAGAAATACAAATATAAGAATGACAGAAAGGAGTATGGGATGAGATGACAGGCAAACAGTAAGACGAATATGTTTGAAAAAAAAGTGGTAGATGTTGCAGGCTGCCAATGGCTCGAAGGGGCACAGGTAACATAAGAAAGGACCAGAACAAGGCGGAGAGAACTGGGGAGGAAACCCCTTGTGGTATCAAGAAAGGTGAAATACAGAAGACAAGGCCAATCGATAACTGGCAATGGTGGAGACAGCTGAACCCTGGTGAACAGTCAGGTAAAAGGAAAGGAGATATCAGACGGTAGGATGATAAGGAGGAAGGTGGCAATGGTTGGACCAATATCAAAAGCAATGCCTCTTGTACAGGTAGATGATCAGGTAGAAGGACACCCAAAACAGAAAAGGAAAAAATTACCAAATTGGAAAGTCCAGTTCATGGACTGGAAAAATTCAAACATGAAGGTGAAAGGACAAAATATCTTGATGGAGAGGACTTGGAAGATGTTGAATCAATAAAGTGTATAATTAGCAGGATAATAGGAGGTTGGTTTGTCAGGTGGCATAAAAAAGAGAACCAAGGGAAGCCAACCAGAGGGATATCATCAAGAGGACACAACAAAGAGTGACTTGAGTCAAGGCCAAGACCCAAAGTAAAAGACAGAAAAGTGGGTATTATGAAATATACATATAATACCAGACCTGGCAAAAGGCAGCAACAGCCAGGGTTGAGGGATGGAGAACAGATGATCAGAAGCATGAAACTTAGAAGGTTGGCAAGGCAATGATGAGTGGAGTTCCAAGAGAGCACACCCCCAATGGGAAAACTGGGGAAAAAGAGAGAATTCTGCAGGTAAACACATCTCAGCCAAGAAAGGCGATCCACCCAGTTCATAGCACCCTGTATAAGGTAAGCTCAATAAAGAAGGTCCAGGATTTGAAAGCAAGGGTCCTGGATCAGATTCTCACATGGCAGTTATTTTAGGAAATACCTAGTAGTAGTCAGAATGGAACATAAAATGATCCACTAGGAGTGGTAATAATGGTATCATACCTGACAGTCTATCAGAAGTTCGATGGAGGAGGACCCATCCATGTGCAATATGTAAAATTGTCATTCAGGAATACTCCCCAACAAGAGGGGGAAGCATCAGTGAAGAGGTGTAGGTCCAGTTTGGGTGAACGTAACGGAACACAGATGATGATGTTGGATTGGTCTAGCCACTCATACAAATACTAGAATAGAGAAAGGGACAGGAGAACCAATGAGGTCAAAGATTCAAGTAAGGCATCCTTCTGGTCACACAAAGACCAACTGAGGAATAAGCAATCCCCATGAAGCCATGGTCTCCAAACAGAACGGGTGTGAATACTAGTGACTATAAATTCCATAGCTTGCAGGCAGTTGGGAGAAGGCTGATCCCAGCTGAGAGTGAGTTCATAGTTTGAAGAAAGAAAGATGGAACTTAGGTTCCCTAAACATCACAAATCTTGTTAAATTGGCAAATGAAAAAACATTTGATGTGTTCAGTGCTGAGGAAAAGAATAAAAAATTCACGAGTGCAAAAGCATGCAGGGAGGTTGTGTTGCCCTCTTATTGGTGGAGGGCTTTTGCTGCATAATAACATCATTCTGCAGTAGCATAATTCACAAGAAAGCTTGTGAAATTAGGTGGGAATTGTCTAAAGGTTGGTGGCATGGAAATCTTTAAGGCAGATGCATAAAGAAGAGAGCTTTCTGTATGCAGAAGTGTGTATCATCTTGGAACTTCATGAATCAATTCAAGTCTCTTGGCACCAAAGACAACATTTTTTTTTTGCAAACCAAGCAAGTGTATCAGCTTTGTATTTATAATACTTTCAGGCAGAAAAAATTAATTATTTTGAATTAACATAGATAATATGATCACTATTTCATCTGCTGAGATTTTAATATTTGTTCCATGCTATGTAAAAAATATATGGAGGGTAGATAAACTTTTGAATACCATACAAAACAAACTTAACAAAATTTCTAACATAATAGCATTTTCTTTTTTACTAAGTCTAAATCATCTACAATAGGTCTTATGCAAAATTTTCTTTGTCATTAACAAAGTTTGGTTAGCTTTGGACATACTCTAAAAAGTATTAATTTACAAGTTTAGGCTCATATCTCATCTTTTATTGCTTTAATACAATACAGTTGACTCATTTATTTTCATACTTGATTCCATCTCATTTAGTTAAGTTTAAAAGGCAACAGATGATGAAACTGAATTTATGATTTTATTGAACCAGCATTATTTTACTGAGAGCCTAGTGTTTGTTTGAAAAGAGTGAGACTCAAGCAAAGTTTGTTTGCTGAAATTTAATTTTGAAAACTTGGAAAATTTCTTTGCATTAGGAATTAACTCTTTCACTTTCTAAAACATGGCATCTAGATGTATTTGTTAATTGATTAGTACACTGTTCCATAAACTATGGTACCTTCAAGATAATAACAAAAAATATGGTAACATAACATTAAGGGACCTTTAAATCTGTACAGATCTTCCTATTCACTAAATTAAAGTAAACCCTAAAAAAACAAACAAACAAACAAAAACACCTCAACCATCCTGTTAGAAAAATAAAACTGTCTTCCTAGTAGCTCTCCTCCAAACCCTTTCCAACAATTAAATGTCCTTTCTGCAGTAAGGAGCCCAAGACTAAACACAAAACTCAAAATGTAGCCTAACCAATGACCTGTACAATAACATTTTAACCTTTTAAGACTTGTAATCAATATTTCTGTAGATACAACCTAAAATCCTATTTGCCCTGCCACTAGCAACAGCACACTTCTTGGATGGCTTAAGAGACTCATCAACCAGAACATATCAAGATCTCTTTCTTCCATAATTCAAACTGTGATATCCCACAAACAATATATACAGATTAAGACCCCCCCTCCCCCAAGTCACTACAGCTGAACATACTTGAAGAAAAAGAAAAGAATTATAGGCTAAAATTAGGAAGAGAACAGATAGCCTATTATGTAGCTTGGTGCTTAACAACAAACATAATAGCAGCATTTTTATTATTTAGATATTAAGGATATTTGAAAAAACCTAATTTTGATTATTGAATTATTTTTGTGACAGTATTTATTAGCAATTGGGATTGAAGTGTCATGTGATACAGAGAAGATTGAGAATATATTTAAATATTTCTGTTCAAAATTACATAAACTTATATAATATCAACATTTGAATTATAAATTATGTTTTGTTTCCAAGTCTATTTACATAAATTGATAATAAAGTTAATTACATTTTGAATGTAGCTCTGTGTAAGGTCATGACTTGCACACCTTGAATTCCACCCATGCACAAGGGTTAATATTGATCACAATCTTATAACAGTCAAATTAACACATCAAGTGATCCAACTTGAAACTGGGAGGGAAATTTCCTACTACTCAGTTTACAGCAACATAAAAGCACATTATTTTGTTGTTTAAAAGATATTTTTTTAAGCTAATGTCATATGAAACATCATGTTTAATATTATTACAATATAATATTTGTTAAAATAACATACAAGTAATCCAAAATTAAATCTATTAAAAGGTGAAATATCTTTTTAGAAATTATATATACTGTTAATCATAGGTATTGAATAACTGATGAACAAAGAGTAAATTTCAACATACCAAAACATTTACTGAGGTTGGTCTGTTTATCAATGAAGACCTTAACAGAAATCACATTTCCAAAAGGAAGAAAGGTTTGGGCAAGGTCATTGTCTGTGAAATCCTGGGGAAGGTGGTAGATAAACAGGTTGGCACCTTCTGGTCCTGTACAAAAATTAAATCTTTTTTGAAATCTAAGCTATAATCATTAGTTTTAATTGCCATTATAGGACAAGCAAATGTACAATTTGGTATTTATATATAAATGTAGTAAATGAAATACTTTGCTGAATTTAAACAAAAATACATTAAAATAATTAAATTAGTTTATTATAATTATGTGAAAACTTTTTATAGTGATATATCCTCATTTGTTATTAATCACAACATTTACTAGCTACAGAAAGAGGTGTGATAACATATAAAACTATTATGTTTATTAAACACCACCACTAATAAAATATTGAAAACTTATTAATTTTGTCATCTAGCTGTTCATTTCCACTGGTAACATAATCTTGTATGAATATATCGGTTTGTATCTACAGTCTATATTCAACATATTTTCGTGTTGGAAAAAAATTATTACTTGGAACTGAGCAAAAATTGAATTTGATAGATAAATGTTCTACTCTGCAAACTACATAGTGTAACTTAGAACAGAAACTCGTGTTAAAATATTTCAGTTTTAATTATATAAATGCATGTGATGTAAGTACAGTACCGTGTTACCATGGTTTACAATGATTAATATCTTTTAGGCTCTTCTTAAAAATCCTGACTGCGCATACTCTAAGTTCAGATAACTTCAGCTTTGATTTTTTAACAAAAAAAAACGAACATATTCAAACTTCATACAATTATACCTAGGCTATTTAATCATTTATCTAGGAGCAGTGATTGATTACATTTATTAGTATCATATAAACTAATTGATTAACTGAAATTACAATTGAATCAACTGTCACTAAAATATTCAACTAATTTAAATTAATTTTTCCAATTATTACTTTTCAGTAACACTTTATATTTTAATCTCTTATTTTCTCTACCCTAACACTATACTGACTCAGTTATTTTACCACCACAAAGAAATAGAAAATAAATATAAATTACCCCTTTTCTTTCTAGAATGAATTACAATTACTTATTCCCAACAGCTTCATGCTTGTAACAGTTTACATTTTTTTCATTTTACTGCTCTTTGAACCATGAGTATACTAAATGTGTAACAAAACTATAAACATCCACCAAGCAAAAGGCTAATATTATGGTAAAACAAAGTATTGAATTATGTAATGCACATGCAGCTTATGTACATATATGGCTGAGAAGCTTTTCTATTTAATTTTATTTCATTTATTTTTTTTTCTTATATAACCTAACAAGTTTCAAATTTTTTATTTTTGTTACTTTTATAACAATAAATGAAACGTACACAAAAACAAGAAATTAGTACTTATGTGTGGGTATTGTACCCCTTTTTGCTGTTGAAGTCTCATAATCTTGATAAAAGTTAATCCTAACCTTTGGTAAGGTTATTGTTAGTACGTTACTGAATTTCATTCCAAATATTTTATTAGGAATATAAAATAATTAACATACAAAAGATACAATGTCCCATAACTATATATATAATTTCACTGGCTTTCTAACTAAGCTATAAGTGTTAGAATATTTCCCTCTCACAGTTGAGGTGAACTCAGTGGTAGCAACTTTAAGCCTGTGAGCTAAATAATTGAAAAGCAGTTAGGAGCATGAGCAAGCCTATTATGTACTTTCTTATAAAATTTTCTATTTCTATTAATTATAAATAATGTGTTAACAAATGTCAAAGAGAATTACTGGAATTTTTGAAAAGCAGTATGTAACAGATGGTGTGACATGTGGGTTTGACTTTGTGATTTATATTTGAAAATCAAGATGTTTGAAGGCTATAAACTTAGATTATGTCTTAGAAATATCTATACTATAAGCCTACAATTTGCATTAAAATTTAGAATCTCAAAAATGTTGGAAAAAATATTTAATTTGGGCAATTCAGAACAAACAAATGTCATATGATATAGAGAAATGAAGATTGATAATTTATTAAAATATATCTTTTGAAATTAAAACTTATATAACATTAACATTTTATTTATTAATTATGTTTTGATGCTAAGTTTATTGGCATACATTTAAAATAGTTTAATTGAATGTTGAATGTGACTGTAAAGAAGTCTTTACATATGCATTTTTACCTACCACTAACTAAAGGGTTAATATTAGAGCAGTGGACTAACTTTAGTTTTTACAATAATATATTAAATTAGGCTTATGTTTGACCTGTTGCTATTGTGGCAAGAAGCAATTAGCAATCTTGGTCTTCATTTTTTCCTCTTAGTTAAATTGGACACTTGATGTTAAAATAAAAATTATACATAATAATAATAACTAAATATAATAAAAAGTAAAAATGGTTATTGCTGTCTTACTGATTCCCCGTGGTTGATAATTTGGAATTAGGGATGTTGCCACATTACCTGGAGTATGAACTGACAAATGGGCTGCAACAGTACTTCATAATTGGAGGAAAGAAGATTTGTGCTTTGGTTGGTGCTAAAAATTCCTCTAGCATGTAGCTTAACATTATTCTAATGGTATTAACAGAAATCTATAATTTATTGACCAAGTAAAACTAATCACTAACAAAATCACCTTCAACTTGTCTTGTAGAAGAGCTCTGATTTTGATGAAGTCCAACCTGAGAAAAGTTTCCTGGCAAAGCAGCTGTAATAAAAAATTGTAAACCAAATTAGTAGTTTATAAGATATACTATCCTGATTTATAGTGGAATACAATAATCTAAACTTAATCACATAAACATTATTGCAAGTTTAAGTTACTTAAGAAACATAAAAGAAATTGCTGAGTTACACAGAATGATATAATAGTTTGGAATTATACAGATATCACGCAGCAAGCCACTTTTCTAAAGTTATTTAAGTTATCTTAGAAAGACCAAAACATCAAAAGGTGATGTTTTCTAGGTATCATGATGTACTATAATACAGTGCTTATCAATATTGTATAGTAAAGGAATTGATTTTTTAAATTAAACTATAATTATTTCAAAGAGAAAAAACACTGAAATACGAAATATCATTGAAAATAAATTCTATACACTAATAACATTTTACAGAGAAGACAAAAGACAAACTGTTTACAGTATCAATCATATAGAATTGGGATGTAATAAGCTTGATTAAAAGTGATATTCAGAAAGTAATCTAATGAAAGATTATAAGTTAAATTCAATTAATAAAAGGTCTGAGAATTGTTTTCAACCTCACTAACAGATAATTAGAGTTATGATCAAATGTAACACAATAATAAAAAACAAGTGATAATTTGATATGCATACAAAAAAAATAGCTGTGTACAAAATTTAAATTAAAAAACAGGATTTCTATAGTACCTGAAGTTAGGTGTGCAATGAAATTAAGTTTGTAATATTTTTCCAAACACTACAATGAAACTTTATAAAAGAACAATACTCATCACATTTTTTGTTTCAGAAAGGTTACACTGGATTTGTTAGTTCTTTAATTTTTGTTATAGCCAGATAATAATTTGATCAGTCACATAATATTACCAACAGTATAACCATATATGAATGGTTTACAAAGTAAAGCCACATTTATTAGTTGTGATGTATATTACTTTACACTTTATTGCATTTCTATGAAGTCTGATAAATGAGATATTCCTTTTATATATCTGTGTGTGTGTGTGTTAATGTTTGAATACAAAATATGTATTCAAACTGTTACTACATTATAGTGACAGTGTATTTGAGTTTTGGTTCAATTGTATGAAAACTAGTTGAAAAGTTATAATTATCTCATAGTACTTATAAATTAAACAAAAACTATATACATCACAAAAACAGACAAAAGTGTCAGTTATACTAAGGCCAATTACATTACTTCTCTAACTAAATGTGTAACAACAAGTATTATCATGACATAGTTCACATATGTGTTTATTAAAGAAATATAAAAGACTGTTTAGTAAATAAAGCTGAATAATGATGAAATGTAAATACATACAAAAACAATCAGGTTCATTCATTTTGCTAATAATCAGTTCTAGCCCAACAAACATACATTACAATAATTAGATAGGAGATTTCTGAAAATATATTAGAATTTTACAGATATTAATCCACAGTAACAATTTGTTAACTAAAGCACACTGCCCCTAAGAACCATATGGCCTCTGAATACAAGAGTTAATAGTCCTGACCTTCTTACAGCTCAGTTAAAGTATAGATACTTCCTAAAATTGATCTTTCCTAGGAGGGTTACATTGTAGAAACTTCCAAAGAAAATTTTTTTCCTATTCTGTGAATATGAAAGAATGTGAGATATGAAAGTTTAGCA